GTGCAGGAGTTTTTCCAAGCAGGCTATTAAGCTGCGGCTACAACGACTTAAATCTTTTCTTTACGAAAAAACTCTCAACCTTGCTATGGAGGCTACAACCCTCCCTTCTTCCAAGCCTGCTCGCCAGGAGGCTGCTAAACCGACCACTAGCCCTGCTGTCCAGTCTCTATCCAGCACAACTTCTTTACCTGTGAAACCCAAGAACTCTAAAAAAACACCTAAGCCGGCTTCTTCCAAGGCTCAGTCGCGGTCTACTGATCCTGCAAATAAGAAAAAGGACAAGGAAAAGCCTAAGAGGCAAAAGGACTTAGCCAAACCGGCTACCGCACCTCTTGCTATACCTCCTATAGTACAGGAGTCTTCGAGAGATGATATTGGGCTTTCTGATAGGGAGGAACGCACTATACCTCCAGCCCAACAAGCTCATGATATCCTGAGCATGTCTCCGAGTTTGGGCCAATTTGGGGCTGTTGCACCATCCAGCCCGGCTATAGCCCCTTTAGCCCTTGTTCCTCAGGGTGAGCAGATACCAAGACTGAGTTGAAACAGGAGTCTGCTTCTTGCACTCCTAGGAAAAGTAAGGAGAAATGCAAACATGTCTCTCCATACCAGCCGTCTGGGCTTGAGGAGCAATATTACCATCCTAAGGGTTTACCTTCTTATGGTCACCTATACCCTGACCGGTACCATCCATATCCATACCAGAACTATGGATATCCAGATCAATACAGAGGGCTGGACTACCCACTACCACCCTGGTATCCTTCCATAGCTCCTCCACAACAACCGTCATTGCAGTACCAAGGGGATGTCTCCACTCCTCATCCCTAAAGAGACCGATGATACCAACGCCTTCCACGCCGCCCAAACAACTCAAACTTCATAAGGGCCATTCCTCGGGGAAAAACATTGTTTGCGGATATTACTATTGACCAAGTGTGGAGGGGGAGTAGTCTCTTTTGCTACTGTACATGAGTGAAGAAATCCTGCTGTGTTTACTGTTTTTTTGTATTGAGGTGCTCAACATGCTTTCATAACTGTTTTAATGAAGAGGAGAAAAAATTGTGCGTATTCATTTCTTCCTGAAGACTGGCAGAACTGGTTTGTTGATATAGTCCTACACAGTTTTCTCTATTTTGGGCCTCTATATAGGGGGATGGCTGTGGGGACAATAATATTTTGTGCCTGCTTTTCAAAAATTATGACTAAGCCACCAGTTTATATGTGTGTAAAACAACAGTCTGCAAATGATATTGTAGTTTACTAAATAATTTAGGTCCACTTCAACATAAACACATCTTGTTTCCTTTTATTAATTATTATTAAATCAAAACAAATACAATGTGTCTTTTCATAACCTTGAAGATCTCTTTCCAGTTAACTGCAAAACTGTGTCTATTCCTGAGAATGACTGAAATTTTGGTTTTCCAGTTTTCCTAGTCTGCAAATGATATTGTAGTTTACTAAATAATTTAGGTCCACTTCAACATAAACACATCTTGTTTCCTTTTATTAATTATTATTAAATCAAAA